AAGTAGGGCGGTCGGCAGAAACCAGGAATACCATTCGACAGCTTCCCTCCGCCCCGTTGACGTGTGCCTCGCTGCTGCTGCTGCTGCTGCTGCTGCTGGAAAGGAAGCTTCCTGATCACTCCGAGCTTGTCTCTTCCCACCATCCACCTTTCTATCCCGCTTGCTTTATCCATCTCTTTTCACGTGTACATTGCGCCTTTTGATCTTCAGTAGTCCTGAAATTCGCAGATTGGGTTCTACCGACTCAAACCACTTCACGGCTCATTCGAAGCTGTCGCCCCATCCTCTAGCGACAGCGCTGCCAATTCCCATCAATCCAGAACACTCCCTTTAGACATGGTTGGACTTGCTTCAGCCGCCGGCCTTGTCGGCTTTCTTTCTGAGTCTGATCCAGAGTTGCGAGTCTTTGCTCTGAAGACCCTTGACTCCCAAATCGACCTCCTCTGGACAGAAGTCGTCGACGCCGTACCTCAAATGTTCGTTTGTCAGCCTGATCCTCCGTTTTCGATGGACGCCCCCATGTTCCCAACTCCTTCTCGAACCCAACCATGAGCTGCTTCATTTCATCCTGACACTAACTCCTTGGAATTCAGAGAGGCGCTTTACGAAGATGAGTCGTTTCCGGAACGCGAGCTTGCCGCCCTAGTCGCCGCCAAGGTCTATTATCACCTCCAGGAGTACAACGAAAGTATGGTGTTTGCACTAGGTGCCGGAAAGCTGTTCAAGCTGGACAGTGGTGGCGAATTCGAGGAAACAATCATCGGTATGTCTACCAAGCTCATCTATCACCACTGAAGTGGCTAGTACCTAATGCTTACATCTCTCAGCCAAATGTGTTGACACCTTTGTTTCGCTTTCCGCTGCCCAGCGGCCGGCAGCAGGTGACCAACCTGCGAACCTGAACACTTCATTCCCAACCTCCGGTGAAGGAGCCACGAGCACCTCCGCCAGCCTGACATCCCCAATCACACCATTTTCACAGTCCGCCTTGCCATCCAAGTCTCTCTTATCCAGACAAGAGGTGCCCGGAGTGGATGCGGCCTACCCGGGTGGCGATGATGCGAGCATCAAGCAGGTCGAGACACCCTTGGTGTTGAAGCGGGGAGTTCAGGGCCAGTTGCAAGCAATCATTGATCGCTTGTTTGAGCAGTGCTTCACTCAAAAGAGGTATCGTCAAGTCATTGGAATTGCCATCGAGGCTAAGAACCTTGATGTCCTTCGGAAAACAATTATCCGAGCTAGTGAGGACGAGAAGAAGCAGAACGGCGAATCGCGACGAAGTGAAGAGCTTATGGAGTATGTGCTGGACATCTGCATGGGAATTGTGCAGGAGCGTGGCTTCCGCAATGACGTATGTCCATATCTTTCTCTCTGTTGCCCCCTTACACTGATGCTAACATTTACCTCCAAAGATCCTTAAGCTTATCCTCGATCTCCTCAATGAAATTCCTGCGCCCGACTATTTCTCGATTGCCAAGTGTGTAGTGTACCTCAATGAGCACTCAATGGCGTCGGCCATCCTTCGTCAATTGGTCGACAAGGGTGATGCGCGATCACTCGCCGTCGCCTACCAAATTTCCTTCGATCTCTACGACAACGGTACACAGGAGTTCCTTCAGAGAGTTCGCAGCGAAATTGCCGAGCCGCTACAGGCGAGCGAGAAGTCTGAGTCGAAGGCTGAAGAGGAACCCAAGGAATCGGATCCTTTGTTGGACAGCCAATCCAGATCTATTGGCGAGAACAACGAACAGACCAAGATTTCGACTGAAGCGCGCGCGGCTTACAAGAACGTTCTTGCTATTATCGACGGTAGAAAGACCATCCAACTGAATTTGGAATTCCTGTACCGCAACAACAAGGCCGACATCGCTATCTTGAACAAGGTCCGGGATAGTCTGGAGGCGCGGAACTCTATTTTCCACACTGCTGTCACGCTCTCGAACGCTTTCATGCATGCCGGCACCACCCACGACAAGTTTTTCCGAGACAACCTGGAATGGTTGGGTAAAGCTGTTAATTGGTCGAAGTTTACCGCTACCGCGGCACTGGGTGTTATCCACCGGGGTAATTTGACCCAGGGTGAGAAGCTTCTGCAGCCCTACTTGCCTCGGGAGCACATCGCGGGTGTGGGAGGTTCAGGCTCGGTCTACAGCCAAGGAGGTTCCTTGTATGCACTAGGTTTGATCTATGCTAACCATGGCGGAATGGCTGTGGATCTTATCCGTGATCACTTCAAGAAGGCCACCGAGGAAGTTGTTCAGCACGGTGGTGCCTTGGGTCTCGGTGTTGCGGGGATGGCGAGCGGCAACGAGTCTATCTACGAGGACTTGCGGAATGTACTCTACACCGACTCCGCACTTAACGGCGAGGCTGTCGGTCTCGCCATGGGTCTGGTCATGCTGGGTACTGGCAACATGAGAGTACTTGAGGACATGATCCAGTACGCTCATGACACGCAGCATGAAAAGATTGTCCGTGGCTTGGCTCTGGGAATGGCTCTGATCATGTACGGGCGTCAAGAGGCTGCTGACGAGCTGATCAACGGTCTTTTGGGTGATCCCGACCCCACTCTCCGTTATGGCGGTATCATGACGATCGCCCTTGCTTACTGTGGTAGCAGTAGCAACAAGGCTGTCCGCAAGCTTCTCCACGTTGCTGTCAGTGATGTCAACGACGATGTTCGCCGCATTGCTGTTCTGAGCTTGGGCTTCATCTTGTTCCGCAAGCACCAGAGTGTGCCTCGCATGGTAGAGCTGCTGTCTGAGTCCTATAACCCTCACGTTCGTTACGGAGCTGCTATGGCATTGGGTATCTCCTGTGCTGGTACTGGTCTGGACGAGGCCATTGACTTGCTTGAGCCTATGCTCAAGGACTCGACCGACTTTGTGAGACAGGGTGCTTTGATCGCTTTGGCCATGGTCCTGGTGCAACAGAACGAGGCCATGAATCCTCGCGTGAGCACGCTTCGCAAGACCATGATGAAGATGATTGGGGACAGACACGAAGATGCCATGGCCAAATTCGGTTGCGCCGTTGCTCTGGGCATCATCGATGCTGGTGGGCGTAACTGCACCATCAGCCTCCAAACCCAAACGGGCAACCTCAACATGCCCGGAATCGTTGGTGCTGCTGTTTTCACTCAGTACTGGTACTGGTTCCCCCTCACCCACTTCCTGTCCCTCAGCTTCACCCCGACCGCCGTGATTGGCGTGGATGATGAATTGGAAGTTCCCTTGTTCAAGTTCCACAGCAACACGAGACCCAGCCTCTTCGATTACCCACCTGAGCAACAGGTGAAGACCGAGGAAGCCCCTGAGAAGATCAAGACTGCTGTCCTTTCGACCACTGCCCAAGCTAAGCGTCGTGCTCAGCGCCGGGAGAAGCAACAACGACGTGAGAGTATGGACATTGATCAGACTCCTACTACACCCAAGGTATCGGAACCTTTGGCAGACAAGATGGAAATGGACGAGACAGTGGCCAAGGGCGAAGAGGAGGCGAAGGATGGAGAGAAGGAGGGTGGTGAAGGGCAAAAGAAGAAGGCCGAGCGGGAGAAGGTCGGCTATGAACTGGATAACATGTCTCGTGTCTTGCCAGCTCAGTTGAAATATCTGACTTTCCCGGACCCGCGGTATGAGCCCGTCAAACGGGTAAGTATACATTTCTCCCTTCCTATATGTGAACCCACGCTAATTTGACGACAGCCTACCGGTGGTGTAGTGGTTGTGTTGGACAAGACCCCCGAGGAGCCTCGTGAGAAGATCGAAATGAAAGCTAGCAAGGAGGTCAAACAGGCTGCGGCAGCAGAGACACTACAAGACCGTCTGCAGGCCGCGATGGGCGCGGCCGGTTTCCAGACACCCCAGCGTGGTGGTGGCCGTGGTCTGGGGGCTGAAACCGGAGCCAATGCGGGAGCCTTGGCTGCCGCCGGCGTGTTGACAGCGGTGGATGAAGATGAAGAGGACGGTGAGGAAGCGCCTGTACCGGATGAGTTTGAATATGAGAGCGACGGAGTCGAAGAGTAAAGCTTCCGGTCGCCCTGATAGATCTCTCTGGCTGGTTGTATTTCTAGGTTAATTATGGAAGTTATGCCCTATGTGAATTGAATAAACATATTTCGATACTTTTGAGGACGGTCGTAGTATCAGTTGTGGATTGCAAAGCTAACGACATCATTCTCTATAGTCGATACTACGTTGGCTGTACAGCAGTCGTTGTCTATGAGTATACGAGAAGATACTAAGTAGGTGTTTCCAGAGTACTACCTAGGTAGCAGTCGTAATCGTTTCAGCCAAGCAGGAACTGCTTGTTGCTCGCATAGGGCTCTTTCCTCTGGTTTACCCTGGATTACAAATATGTCTGAGTACTCTCTTTCTGAGCTTCCTCCTGTTCACATGCTAGCAGTACTGGTGAAGGAAGGTTAGCAAGTAGCAAGTAGCATGATGCATGATCTCATCTGATCCACCGACTTGGGGATTTTGCAAGCAGGCGGCGGCCTGCCTCGGTTGTTTCTCCTTGCAGTAAAGCCGCGCACGTGCCATGAGGCTGGGGAAGCCAATCGGAGGAAGAGCAATACACATCCCGGACTGGCCGAGGCGTGGTCCACGTGAGCTGCTTCAGAGCTTGTACTGTACGGGCATACATGGTACAGGAGGTGCAATGATGAAGTCAGTCGGGCCCGACATGTGAAAGCCATTTCTGGAACTAAACTTACTTCCTCCCTCCCATTTTGTAGATGATTACTCCGAGGGAATTGTTCTCGGTTGCCGATCGTGACTCTGTTTCATTGTATCCACTGTCCATTGTTCTTATTCTTATGATTATAATTGGACTTTCCTGTTTACCAGAGGACCCATCTCATTGACCAGGGAGCTTGTTTGCATGGGGTAAGGCCTCCGTGATCAAAGCTGAACTGAACCAACCTGCCAGCCGACCAGCCTGCCAGCCTGCTTTTCAGCTGGCCTTTTTTATATCGACTTCGACCCGCTTCTCATTCCATTCTCCCCCTTCTTTCTCCTTTACCCCAGCTTCCTTTATTCTCCCTTTCCCTCTCTTGTCTGACATCCTTACCCCGGATCTCGGACCCCACTGTTGCCTCCCCACCCCACTCCACTGTACAACGCAGTGCGTCTAAGGAGCGCCGTGTTCATACCCAACTATACCTACTGAAGATACTCACACAGACTCCCTTCGTCTTCTTGCTTCCCGTACAAAATGGTCAAGACATTTACCAAAGACGACGTAGCCTCGCATAGCAAACCGGATAACCTGTGGGTTGTGATCGATGAGGATGTGTACGATCTGACCAAATTCCAGGAGGAGCACCCAGGTGAGTCTCTAACACCAGGTAATAAGTCGAACATCGAGACTAATGTCACTGTGTGACTCCTATAGGTGGCAAGAAGAGTATGACTCCTCCAGTGTATATATATCTGACTCCGCCCCGAACATATGCAGCTAACCTCCGCCATGTATAGTCCTACAACGGGTGGCCGGCAAAGACGCATCGAAGCAGTTCTGGAAATACCACAATGAAGGCATCCTGAAGAAGTTCAAGGGCCAGCTGCAAATCGGCTCCCTGGATTCGAAGAAGGCCGCTGCACCGGAGCCGGTCCCAGCATCCGCCCCAGTCAAGCAACAGCCTGCGAAGGCCCCAGCTGCACCCGTTGATGTGGTTTCCGCGAAGTCGCTAGAGGCCCAGGAGCCATTTGGCGACCTCATCCCCTTTGCAGACCCAGCTTGGTATCACGGTGTAAGTACCAGCAAGCTTCCCCACTACCGTAGCACGAGATGGTGAAGGCCTAGACTAATTATCGCTGATGGATTTTTAGTACCACTCGCCGTACTTCAATAGGACGCATGCCGCCCTTCGTGAAGAGGTCCGACAATGGGTGGATACTGAAATCGAGCCAAACGTGACAGAATGGGATGAGAGCAAGAACGTCCCCGACCGCATTTACAAACAGATGGGAGAGCGCGGATATCTGGCTGGCTTGCTCGGAATCAAATACCCAGTTCAATACACCCCTAATCGGGTGCAATCCGTGGCCCCTGAGAACTGGGACCTGTTCCATGAGATGCTCCTTACGGATGAACTGTCTCGCTCTGGTAGCGGCGGTTTCGTTTGGAATCTCATTGGTGGGTTTGGAATCGGGTGTCCTCCTCTGGTCAAGTTCGGAAAGAAGCCTCTTGTAGAGAGGATTCTGCCTGGGATCTTGGCTGGTGATAAGCGCATCTGCTTGGCTATCACAGAACCCGACGCGGGTAGTGATGTCGCCAACCTCACTTGTGAGGCCAAGCTGACGCCAGATGGCAAGCACTACATTGTCAACGGTGAGAAGAAGTGGATCACCAACGGCATCTGGAGTGACTATTTCACGACCGCCGTTCGCACGGGTGGGCCCGGCATGAACGGTATCAGCGTGCTGCTCATTGAGAGAGAGCAGGGCGGTGTCAGCACCCGGCGCATGGATTGCCAGGGTGTCTGGAGCAGTGGTACCACCTATATCACGTTTGAGGACGTGAAGGTGCCGGTGGAGAACCTCATTGGAAAAGAGAACCAAGGCTTTAAGGGTAAGTTCCTGACCCATGGACGCTACTTATGCTCTTTTCTCGAAAGCTCTAACCTTCCTTATAGTCATTATGACCAACTTCAACCATGAACGTATTGGTATTGTGATCCAGTGTGTGCGGTTCGCTCGTGTCTGTTATGAGGAGTCTATGAAGTATGCGCACAAGCGCAAGACCTTCGGTAAGAAGCTCATTGACCATCCGGTCATCAGAATGAAGCTGGCGCACATGGCCCGTCAAATCGAGGCGACATACAACTGGCTGGAGAACATCATCTACCAGTGCCAATCGATGGATGAGACGGAAGCCATGCTCAAGCTGGGAGGCGCTATTGCCGGGCTGAAGGCACAGGCAACGACGACGTATGAATTCTGTGCGCGCGAGGCCAGCCAAATCTTCGGCGGCCTCAGCTACAGCCGGGGTGGCCAAGGTGGAAAGGTCGAGCGGCTCTACCGCGATGTCCGAGCCTATGCCATCCCGGGTGGTAGTGAAGAGATCATGCTGGATCTTAGCATGCGCCAGAGTCTGCGTGTGCATCAGCTCTTCGGGCTGAAACTGTAGGAATTGGTTACGGGTCTTGAAATCAAACAGTTCATTTTGCTGGGTTATATATGACTATTTTGCTGAGCGTCCTGTAACATATCACGCAGAAACTGCCCTGGAGGACTGAATATCTTGGCATATCGCAAATTCAATGAATGATGGCTGAGCTGTCTATGGTACTGTAGACCTCCTCGAAGTGGGGCCAGAAAGGCCGCTAAGAGATGCCAAAAGTCCTTTCACTTAGAGCGCAAAAGGTAGTAATAGTTTCTGAATGAGCTGAACAATCAATCATTCAGTAGAGCCAAGAAGTCACGCAAATAGAATGAAAGAAATCGAATTGCCAATTGCAGGAGGGAGAGGAAGGCCAATGCCGTGGAGTGAAAGGAAGGCGGTCCGGCGGGGCGGAAGAACCCAAAATGACATTTGCCCGCATCAATCATCCATCCAATGCTTGATGCCTTCTTCCACCTTTCTTTCTCTTCTCTCTCCATTTAACCTAACACTTACCATCTTCCTTCTCTTCTTTGGTGTCCTGTTTCGATCGCAGCTGGTGCCTGGAACTCTAATCCTAGTGCGATAAACTTTCACCTTCCCTCCTCATCTCTTGCTACTCAACAACTAGCTGGGTGGGAAGATCGCGCCTCGCGGAGCCGGCGAAACAACGGAAACTCGCCTCGCCGCAGCCCCCGGAGGTGAAACCTCTCTCTCGCAACACTGCCAGCTCTGCGCGGACCTTGCTTCTCTCTTTCTGCCGACTTTCGCATAAAAAGTCATTTATTGTTATACCTGGAACCTCATTGATCATATCAGAGATCTATACTGCGTCAAGAGGTTTGTGGGCATCCCTACTCCATATCCCGTCCCACACTTCAGAGATTCGTCTTCACGCAACATTGCAATCTCAAACTTGACGAGATTACCAACCCCGGACTTTCATTCCGTTCTACTTTCGTCACCCTCTGCGAATACAATCGTCATTCTCCCGTCACAAATCAATCGACCCTCCGTTCAACATGTCGCGAAACCTCATAGATCAGGACTTCGGCTCCGAAGAGGAAGATGACGATTTCAACCCCGCCCCAGCGGATGACTCAGATAACGAGGATGTGAAGGTTTGTACCGAGGCCGGGAATTGGGTGGTGTCTGACGGATCAGGCTGACGCTAGGATTTTTGCTTTTCTGCAGGCGACGCACCATCGTCGGGATGACGACGACGATGACGATGATGACGCCGATGTACACACTGGACGGACGGCACGGTATCGCGCGGGCAGTGAAGATAATGCAAGAGGGCGTGGCCCTGCGGATGACGACGATGAAGGAGACGACAACGAAGACGAGGAGGAAGGCGATGAAGACGACGAGGGCGAGGAAGATGAGGATCAAGATGAGGAGGATGAGGACGACGACGACGATGTAAATCCCGTGAGTGGCTCTAGAGATTCCGGCATCGCTTTTTTTCCCCCGCAGCGGCTTGGAGAAGGTATGATGGCTAACTGCTTCCATCCGAACTTATAGAGACGGCCCGCGAAGCGCAGACGGAGAGGAGGTGTTCTCTCTTTCGTCGATACCGAGGCCGGTGTCGATGAAGATGAGGATGAGGCCGAGGACGAGGAGGATGACATGGAATTTGGCGGGGAAATGCACCCCGACGATATGGACACACTGCCCGTTGGGGTGGAGACAGATGATCGCCGACACAGACAGCTGGATCGTCAGCGCGAATTGGCGGCCAGTATGGATGCGGAAAAGCAGGCGCAGATGCTGAAGGAGCGTTATGGTCGAAACCGTGCGGCGGCCACCGATGCCGTGATTGTTCCCAAGCGACTGCTTCTCCCGAGTGTCGATGATCCGAGTATCTGGGGTGTTCGTTGCAAGGCTGGCAAGGAGCGTGAGGTGGTGTTCTCGATTCAGAAGCGCATCGAAGAGCGTCCGCCTGGCTCTCGCAACCCGGTCAAGATTATTTCCGCCTTCGAGCGAGGTGGAGCGATGGCTGGATACATCTACGTCGAGGCACGCCGGCAGGCGGATGTTATGGATGCACTGCAGGATATGACGAACGTCTATCCCCGGACAAAGATGATCCTGGTGCCCGTACGAGAGATGCCGGATCTCTTGCGTGTGCAGAAGTCGGAAGAGCTTTCGCCTGGAGGCTGGGTTCGGATCAAGCGTGGAAAATACCAGGGCGATCTCGCGCAGATTGAGGAGGTTGAGACCAACGGTCTTGCTGTGACGGTGCGATTGGTTCCTCGTTTGGATTACGGCCTGAACGAGGATATTGGTGCCCCTGCCATCGATCCTAAGCGGAAGCGTCCTGGCATGAACCCAGCGGTGGCTCGTCCCCCTCAGCGTGCCTTCAGCGAGGCTGAAGCCAAGAAGAAGCACGCCAAGTACCTTTCTGCGACGTCTGGCTTGGGTGGCAAGTCATGGAACTACTTGGGTGAGACCTACAGCGAGGGCTTCTTGATCAAGGACATGAAGGTCCAGCACCTCATCACAAAGAATGTGAACCCTCGACTGGAAGAGGTTACTATGTTCGCTCGGGGTGCAGACGACGGCACTTCGAATTTGGATCTGGCTTCTTTGGCCGAAACGCTGAAGAACCAGACTGCAGAAGAATCATATCTTCCTGGAGATCCTGTCGAGGTCTACCGGGGCGAACAGCAAGGGTTGATCGGACGCACCACCTCCACACGTGGTGAAATTGTGACTTTGGTGGTCACGCAGGGTGATTTGGCAGGACAGACCATCGAAGCACCGGTCAAGACTCTTCGCAAACGGTTCAGAGAAGGTGACCATGTCAAGGTAATTGGAGGCAGCAGATATCAGGACGAGCTGGGTATGGTTGTACAGGTGAAGGACGACACGGTGACGCTGCTCAGCGACATGAGTATGCAAGAGATCACAGTCTTTAGCAAGGACTTGCGTCTATCTGCGGAGACTGGCGTGGACGGTAAACTCGGCATGTTTGACGTACACGACTTGGTCCAGTTAGAGTGAGTTCATCTCTTGGCGACTGCTCAAATCATGACTAACTAGCTATACAGTGCCGCTACTGTCGCCTGCATTGTCAAAGTTGATCGCGAGTCTCTCCGAGTTCTGGATCAAAACGGGTCCATCCGTACCATCCTTCCCACACATGTCACGAACAAGATCACGCCGCGTCGAGATGCAGTGGCCACGGATCGCAATGGTGCCGAGATCCGTCTCGGAGACACAGTACGGGAGGTGTCTGGTGAGCAACGCAGCGGTGTGATCCTCCATATCTACCGTTCGTTCCTCTTCCTGCATAATAAAGCGCAGGCTGAGAACTCTGGTATTGTTGTTGTGCGTACGACAAACGTTGTCACTGTGTCGGCCAAAGGAGGACGGGCCACCGGACCCGATTTGACAAAGATGAACCCGGCGCTAATGAGGAACGGAGCTCCTGGCGGTATGATGGGACCGCCTCAGCGAAGCTTTGGACGGGACAGGATGATTGGCAAGACTGTTCAGGTTCGAAAGGGACCGTACAAAGGTTTGGTCGGTATTGTCAAGGACTCGTCGGATTTGCAGGCCCGCGTGGAACTGCATTCCAAGAACAAGCTGGTCACGATTGACAAGGAGCTCCTGGTTGTCAAGGACCCGATCACTGGCCAGACAATCGAGATGGGCCGGGGACGGGGTGGTGGACGCATTCCCAACGGCGGCCCCGCTGCTTCCCAGTCCGCATGGCAGGGTGGTCGGACACCGATGGCCATGGGTGATTCTTCTAGAACACCGGCCTGGGGTGGTGCCGCATCCGCTCGAAGTAAGTGTCAAATTCGACTCTCCTTACCCTGTACACATACTGACTGTTCTTTCTCACAGCTCCTGCATGGGGTGGCGTAAGCAGCGCGCGCACGCCTGCTTGGAAACAAGACGGCTCCCGCACCTCTAACCCCTATGATGGTAGTCGCACCGCCTACGGAGGAGCCGGAGGCTTTGGTTCACGTACACCCGCCTGGAATGCCGGCGCCCGCACTCCCTACGGTGGGTCTGGCAACAGTGACTTTGACGCCTTCGCCGCCGGCTCGCGTACCCCGGCCTGGGGCGGTGCCGGTGCCAATGCCGGTGGCAGGACACCTGCCTGGGGAGGAGCATCCGCCAGCAACGGCAACAAGGGCTACGACGCCCCAACACCCGGAGGCAACTATTCAGCCCCTACTCCTGGCGCCTACGGCAGTGCCCCCACGCCTGGAGCGTCGGCACCCACTCCCGGTGGCTGGGCTGACAGTGCCCCGACGCCCGGCGCCTTTAATGCACCCACGCCCGGTGGAATCTCGAAACGAGGAGAATACGATGCTCCCACCCCCGCCGCGTTCGACGGCGCGGGCAGTCACAGTCGTCCCTACGACGCACCGACCCCCGCCGGAGCAGCCGCTACTCCTGGTGCAGGCTACGACGGTGACGACGGAGGACCACGCTACGAAGAGGGAACGCCCAGCCCTTGAAACCCCCCTTCTTCATGCTTCTCACGAATTCCTCAATAATCCCCACAAACCAAATCGACGAAGGGCGATAAACCTAGGCACAAAGAAACTTCTTTCCAGGAAAGGAAACTATAGATCACCGAAAAAGCCGTTGTTCCACACCATCTGACAGAGGGCTGTCCTGTTCCCTACTGCTTTGTTCTTTTTCTTTCTTGCATGCGATGGACGATGGACAGGTAGCATCATCCATCGCGGGCCGTTCGACGTCGCGTATCGCGTAAAACTTTACTTCACCTTGATTGCCGAAAATTCCACACACTGATTCACTTTTGCTGGCATTGTTTCCTTCCCATTATTCGGAACGTTGTTGCTGCACTCTTCTCTTTGTTTCTTTCTTTCTTTCTTTCTTTGTGTTTGCGCGCGGCTTCTGGGTTAAACAAATATCGTCGCAAACTTGCATAACCTTTTTGTATCATGTGTATCATTCTATCTTATCTACTTCCAACTCCCCCAATTTTCATCCTATTTCACCTCACCTCGCCTGTTTCTTGGGTCGGAGTCTTGTTGTCTTGCTATAATCTAATACGTAGACGTTCCACACAGGTACGAAGTGAGGATACTGGCTCAAATCATCCAGTCAATCAATGAATTTCCCTCATTTTTGTGACGTAAAAAGGCAGTAGTCTAAGTCAAGGTACGCAGGTAGGTAAAGATCGAGATCCGGAGGTTAAAAGAAGAAGAGACGGTGAAGGGGAAGGAAGCTATATATGATACATCTGGTATACACTGGACAGAAAAATAAAGAGAAGGCCGACCCGAACAAAGCAAAAAAACAAAACAAGGTTGCTATAAAGAAGAATAATACACGCATGTTCATTTCCATCAGAAAGTAATGTAAAACTCTCTTCTTCGACTTTGTGAAACAGAAACACGGGGGATCAAGAAGTTCCGGATGCAAATGTGTAGGTTCGTTATATGCACATCAGATGGGGGGGGGGGACTTTGTGACCGACCGAGGAAGGGAGAAAAGGGCGAGAAGTTAAAGGTAAAGGGGGGAATACGCGAAAAAGAAGAAGAGTCAATGGAGGTAGTTAAGTCAAGGAGGTACTTGACGGGCCAGAACACGGACGTTATCCAGGAACCCCTTGACGAGGTCCTCGTACTGATGTGGCTCCTGGTTCATGGCCATCTGGCCCTGGCGACGGATCTCGGCCGCCGAGACTTCGACCTCGAGTTCGTGCTCAAACTCGCCTTTTGCGGACTGATTGCGAAACAAAGTTAGTTAAGGGGCCAGTGGGGCTGGGGAATATAGAGGGGGAAACGGAACGTACATCAGATTTGGCCACCTGGGTGAGATCGATCTGGTAGGCGAGATGGCGGTAGCTCATCCGGTCTTTGTTGCGATCCCCTCCGCGACCCCGCGCCGGATCGACCTCAGTGAGCTGGCTCACGTCGCCGTCGTAGTTCATTTCGAGGTTGACGCTGATGCGCCAGTCGACGCAGGTTTGCGGGCTGTGGATGTCCAGGTCGGCGATGCGGCATTTGACGATCTTGGCGAGGACCTCGTTGGTTCTTTGGTCCACGGTCACGCGGACCTTGGGCTTGTGGCGCGGGTTCAGGTTTTGTCGGATTACCGGGGGCAGTTCATTCGGGGATACTTCATAGAAAGTGTCGCGCTCTTTCTTGTGGGCATATGAAATGGGGATGCGCGGTCGGTCGGCCTGATCCAGGGACCTTTTGACGGCTTCATTGAGGAAATTGTTCATCGCTTGATGTTGGGCCTAGCCTAGCATGTTAGTGATGTGATAAATGACCGCGGGAAAAGAGGATCACGTACCACTGTCATGCTGCTTTCAAATGCCGTGCGAAAGCGTGGGAACTGTTTGTTCATGACTGTCTCGGACAGAATGGGCAGCTGAACCCGATCTCCGCGGTCCATGTCAATGAGCTGGCCCAGTTTGGCCTCCACCTCAATGATGGCCGCCGACCCGGCTGCTGCTGCTCCCGCTGGAGCTGCGATGGCGTCGTTGCGGACCACGACATGCCTAAAGAGAAAGTCGCACACAAGTCTTGTGATGTCCTCGGAAGGGAATTCTCCGGTGATGGATGGCTCCCACGGTCCCAAACTCCCAGGCTGTTGCGGCTCGGCCGCAGCGGAAGGCGCACGGGGGGCCGGAGCCGTCGTCTTGCTGGGCGGGGTATCGTTCGAAGCTTTAATGGATACGGGTACGGCAGCGGCGTGTGCGGGACCCTGAGCAGCCGAAGCAGCCCGCTGTCGCAAAATCCAAGCATTGTCCGGGCTATCGCGGGAGTGCTTGGGAATGGGAGGAAGGGGATTCGGGATGATAGGGCCGCGACCCTTGGTACGTTCCGGCCGCATGGCATAGATCGGGGGTGCATCGAAGCGACGACGCTTCCGTTTCGGAGGCTCGTGTGGACTGGAGTAACCATGCGCCTCTGCAACGGCCATTCCATTCTCGCGAGGGGTGGTCTGGGTGGGTACGGCCGAATCTGGATAGCTGGGCGCCCGCGTGGTCTTGGGACTCACACTATCTTCTGAGCCGCGTCGGTCACTGGTACCAGGGTACGGCCGCGGGGTCTGGTCTCGGGGACGCGACAAACGGGGCATCGCAGTAGGTGACATTTGCATCGATGCCTCCTGGCCGACCCAGGGGCTGGAGGCGCGGTTTGAGCGCGTGTCTTGGCCTGAAGACGACGGGCGCGCAGCTGAGGAAGGTGATGGTTGAGCATAGGCAGCAGTCGACCCGCGTGGCGTACCAGGCAGAGATCCGGGCCCTGGCGGTGAAAATTGCTGGGAGGCATATCCAGGCGCAATGCCGGCGGTTGAGGGACTTTCTTTAGGGTGAGATGCGTGAGTCATGGGCGTGTCGTGGGACAAAACCGATTGAATGGATTGCGAGCGCTGCTGAGGGGGATTGAAGGAGGAATCACGTGAAGAACCGTAGTGGCCTGGTTGTGGGCTCTGACCTCGAGCAGCTTGCGAGCCAGCCGAGCGACCAGAGGTAGGTTGATGTTGATAAGGAGACTGCAGCGAGCCGTAGGAGGAAGAGCGTTCGGGAGAAACATGAGGCCGCTGCATTGATGCTCCGGGGAAACCGGCCGGATAGGAGGCGGAGGAAGCGGGCGCCGCGGCGGGGACCTGTTCGTGCGGGCTGTAGACTGCATCGGATGGCTTTCGTGTGGTTTGCGCCAATGGCGATTGCTGGGGTTCCGGTGGAGGAGGATTGTTGGCATTGCCAGCAGTGTCGCTGTTCAACATCGAGCGCAAATCCATCGCGGGCGCGTGCTTGGAGAGACGAGGAGGGACACGGTGCGACGAGGCGGTATCCAGGAGTTGCGTAAGGGGATTCAGGCGCTGTTGTAGTATCTAAATGATGTTTAAGATTGTTGAAAGACCAAAGTAATAGGCGAAGAGGGCGCGAAGGATGAAGCTGAAGTGGAGGCCAAAGAAAGTCGAAGAACGAATCCGGACATGGAGGAGACGCGGACAACGACTTCTCGAGGGGATGGTATCGGGAGAGGAGATAAGCGCAATGAGGTGGAAATATAGTAGTAATCGTAAAGAAAGTAATACGAGTCGAAGGGTATGAAATGGGGGGATGTTGGGTGGTCGAAGAAATAGCGTGAGGGAGGATAAAGAGAAGAAGCAAAAGGAAGCAAAAGAAGTTCGAGTTAAGCTACGCGGAGGAAGTATAAGAAGAGCAAGCAAGAGAGGCAGGGGGAGAGTTGGCCATTTTCTGGCTGCAGGAACATCTTGGAGTCTCTAAGTATGTGCATTGTCAATAGTGGAGCTAGATTAATCTGTCTTCTATGATTTTAATATTTTTTTTTCTACTTTTTTTGTTGCTTCTTACACTTTTTATTGCATTGGCTCTTCATTGCAGCCGATTTCAGTTGACAGTTAAGCTGGCCTCAAAATGCGGCAATTCAACTTCCATTTCCTCCTCCGCCTTCCCTTTTCTCTCATCAGCGTCCTCCTCCTCCTCCTCCTCCTCCTCCTCCTCCTCCTTCACCTTCATCTCTCTCTCTCCTTATCTCTCCTTATCCATCCTTCTCCAGTCTTTCCCCTCTTGCCTCTTTATTGCAGCTTCAACCCTTCCCCGGATCCAGGTATGTCCTCTGTATGCTGAGTGCTGTGGTAAATGTGGGACTACTGATACTAACGACTATGCGACATTCCTCTAGCATGTTCCTCTTGCTGCATCGTCCTCCGTTCCTCCTCCCATGAAGCCGCGCGTCATCTCCCTCTTCTCTTATCCCCCGCCACAACGAACGCATTGCCATTGCTCAATAATTTCACCCATATCTACCCATAGCGAGTCGATTTCCACAATAAAATACAACCCATCATGTCGTTGATCGACAAGGGCCTCGCCTCGCCTCTCCCCGTTCACGATGTCCCTCTTCACGATCTTGAATCATCCTCTAGAGCAGCCGATCATCGTTACTCGTCGATGAGCAGCAGCTTCAGTAGCAGCAACCACAATGATAGCCTTCAGGAATACCTCAGTCAGGTTACGGACATGGCGGAAGCTTTCTGCACCAAAGTGGCCATAATAATCACCCCAAGTTACCTACAACAATACGTGGGAGGAACGCCCCGACCGGCTACTAAGCCGCACGCCATCGCGGCCCTGGACGGACTGCGCGGCTGGGCCTGTCTGCTCGTGTTCAATTTCCACTTCCTCTTTACTTACACTTGGAAAGTCGCATTGGGTTGGGGGTTCAATGGGGAGAATTTCGCGCTGTGGCAGTTGCCGATACTGCACATGCTCGTCTCAGGCCATATCATGGTGGCCATCTTCTTCGTTATCTCTGGCTACGTCCTCTCCTACAAGCCGCTCAAGCTGATTCGCAGTCGCGCCTGGGAACAGACCTTCACCACCCTCGCCTCGGCTACATTTCGACGAGCCTTGCGCCTTTATATCCCGTCATTTGTGGGGATCACTCTTGTCTTTCTAGCCGTGCGCTTGGGAGCCTTCCACCCGTCCCGGCGTGTCCTGGTTGAGGGCCACACAATCCTGGGCACTAATGAGCAGCATCCACCCATCATGCGCTCCTTTACCAAGCAGTTCTGGGATGGCTACTCGACACTCGCACAACTAATGGACCCCTTCAACTGGTCTCTCTACTACAACAATTACAACCCGCACCTGTGGACCATTCCTGTCGAATTCCGCAGCTCCATCGTCCTTTTCCTCACCATCTTGGGCACCTCGCGCCTCGGGACTCCCATCCGTATCAGTCTCGTTAGCGGTCTCATCTGGTTCTGCATGCGCTTTGGCCGCTGGGATGTCGTGCTTTTCCTGTCCGGCATGCTCCTCGCAGAGGCCGACCTCATTCACGGCACCTGGGAACAACGTCCCATTCCTGCCGGCACATCCTCGAGTACGACCACAACCGCAACCATTGATGACAATCCCAAACCTCAACTCCGCCGCTTTCTCCCTGCCAAATCCCGTTCCTACCACTACCCTGTTCTCTCCCGCCTCTCTACCCGCCGGATCCCTTATCGCAATATCTGGATTGCCCTCTTCATCATCGGCCTCTACCTGGGCTCTACCCCGAATACCGGCTACAAATGGACCCCGTTCTACATGTGGACCTGGAAGATCACTCCCAAAACCTACCCCGAGCCGCACCGCTTCCCGCAAACCATTGGTGCCATCCTCATCGTCGCCAGCATCAACCACTCCCCGGAGATCCAACGTCTCTTTACCAACCGCCTCTCCCAGTATCTCGGCCAGATCTCCTTCGCCTTCTATATCGTGCACGGCCCCATCCTTCACGGGCTGGGGTACACCATCATGCCTCGGCTGTGGGCCATCACCGGCCGGGCGACGGACTTCCAGGCCGGACTTGCGTACCTCCTAGGGTGGATGATCTGTTTGCCCATTGCCCTGTGGGCAGGAGACCTGTTCTGGCGGGCGGTAGATATTCCCAGTGTGAGGTTTGCAAGGTGGGTGGAGGAGAAGGTCATTGTCAAGGGGCCTGTAACTGTGTCCAGGCCTGCGCCCGGGAGCAGTGGCGAGCGACGGGATTGATTCCCTTCCTTTCTATGTCTGCTGCTGCCGCAGCCGCAGCTCGTTTACTATCATCTAGTTGCAAATGTATTCCCTGCTGGGATTTCAGGTTAGCGAGCGTCACTTCATGTTAAATTCATTGGATCAGTCACGGGTTTGGCTGTACATATTTCATGGTCTCAATCATATTTTGGATCTTCCACCTGTTTCCAATGTAAGGCGCATGTGGGAACGCACATCAATGTGGAGAATGTAGATTTACTCTGTCCAAAACGAGTATGTCCAGCAGTTATGGCGTCAACTAGATCTCGACACATCTAAGAGGGAAAAAAATAGGGTTGTTCGTTCATTCATTTACTCGTACCATGCCATATACCAAAGTTCGCCTACGCGGGTAAAAGTCTCCGCGCGCTATATGGGGCTTCCCTTGCCACGGGACGTCATCTCAATCATGTCCCAGAGCCCATCCCCTATGAGAGCAGTACCAAAATCATAACATCAAGGGGGTAAGTCATAGTCTGAAGGCAGAAAAGACAAACAAATAACATGCAAATGACGATCTGTCAAAAGTCTAGCCGATGTATGAAGCTATTCACAGAGCGACTCCCCAAAGGCCTCGCCCGCCACAAACCCCAAGCCAGTCGCGTGGATGTCCGGCTGGCGTGGTCCCGCCCTGCGGCGACCAGCTGATGTTAGATACCTCGTAGTCACACTGCCAGGCAGCTGCCGGGCCACGCTCGCTTGTTGGCGTCGTTGCTGGGGCTCCCGGTGGGTGTGCGCCCGGCGGCACCGGGGCTGCGTTGTGTTGGTTGATCAAGTCCCAGAGCAGGACGAAGCAGTCATCTGCGCCCGAGGCGAGCACGCCGCGACGATTCGGGGACCATTCCACGGAGTTAATTGAGGAGGCGTGCCCCTTCAGCTCCAGCAGAGCTTGTCCCGGCTGGCGCACATCAAGAACTCTTACGATGTTCGAGTCTTGCGAAAACGTCGCCAAGAGGTGCGAGTCATGGGGAGAGGCTGCAGTAGTGAGTATGTATGTCACACGTGATACATCTACAAGCTCACATACCTGCAATGCGTAGTAGAGGTGGTGGCCATGCAGACTGTGCAGGCGCGGAAGGACTGCCGTTCCCGGGACTCATCACTGAAAAAAAAGGTTGTGAGTAAGGCGATCTTCGTGACTGTGGGTTTGATAGGGATGTCTTACATTTCTCATTCTTTTCGGTGGGCTCATAGATGATGGTACTGTGCTCCAAACTGCGAAGATCGAACATGCGAACGCTACCATCAGCACCGCAGCTGACGAAGACATCGACGCTGTTGGCGCAGAACCGTACGTCGTACACCTCCTTATCGTGTGCGATCAGCTGCGTTTTGGCGGTAAGTGTGGGAATGTCCCAAATTGTGCACGTGGTATCGATGCTGGATGTGATTATGAGGCTTGGTGAAATGGTGTTCCAGTCCAGGGATGTGATTGGCGCGGTATGCTCCGGAGACTTTGAGTTCGACAGCAAAGCCAAGGGTTGCAGCTTCGCGGTCGGTGTGCTTTGATTGTTCGACCGTGTGATCGTGTTCGAAGCCGGCGCTGGTTGCGAAGCAGGCAGCGACCATAACCGGAGATGATCGCCAGACGTTGCCAGTAAATCTGTGGATTGTTTCTGTGAAGAAGGCGGCTCCCAAAGAATCCGAGTTACAGGATATGAATGGGTGGCTTCCGCAGTTTTGACAAACTCCAGCTTGATGTCTCCAGCCGCCGCATCTGGTGTATCCGGGTCGGGAGCGGTCCAGTGTGTATCAACAATTTGAATCTGCGCTCAAATTAGCACCATCGCTTATCCTGAAGGCAGACCAACATCATACATAGTTGTGGTTATCTTCCAAGTAACTTCCCATGGCGATCTTTCCGCCAAAGGAGCCAGAGTTGCCGGGCACCGGCCACTTGCACCAGTCCACTGCGTATATGGGCCACGGGGCAATGTAGTTACTATTAGTAGGCACCTGATTCTCGCTATTGTTGATTGACATCATTCCCGAGGTCATCATCGTGTCGCTCAACAAGTCACCGGTTGGCCGGATATCAGCAAGGCCCAAGGGAGAGTATTTGGCTCCCAACGGAGTCTGCGGCGGGTAGCCAGCACCCGGCGACGAGCCCGGCTGTTTGTATTTTGGCTGATCAAGGCCTGCTGGGCTGGATCTTGAATGTCCGTGAGAATTGGCCATGCTAGAGCGCGGGTTTGTTGACTGTTGCACCGCGGACTGCGGCTGTTGCGGTTGCTGTGGTTGTTGCGGCTGTGATGACGGTGCTGCGGGAGGCTGCATGGGGGTCGACAACTGAGGGAGGGTTGGAAGCACCGAAGGGGCTGTGTTCATGGACACTGCCGGTGGACGGTTGGAGTTGCCTGGCTGCAGTGCTCCTGGTAGATGACCACCAGCAGCGCTGTTGCCGCCTCCAAATTGGCCAGGCTGTGAGCCGGACGGATGCACATTGATTGAAGGAACGTGGTTCTCAGCGCCCGAGATGAACTCGTGGGACATGGACTGTCGCTGCAGATTGGGAGCACCGGACGGGATATGCAGCTCCTCCGGGCGCCCGTACGTTGTGGCCCGGCGAGGGTCGAAGGGTTGGCTCGCATTCGACATGACAGCGTGGAATTCGAATAATTCGAACCGTACTATACCCTAGCCACGCAAATAAGCTCAATTGAAGCTCCACCTCAGCAGAATGTCAGGTGTGAACGGTTGTTGATAGCGGTTATCAGGTTGCGAGGACTAGCTGGGAGGGGGGGGATGGAGGGCGCTAGGAGCTCCGACTGTACCAGAGACAGTGCACGCTCTAGGTCATGTCAGAAAGGGACAACAACGTGAACAAATTCACAAAGACATTCTGAAGCTTGAAAAGACTCAGAAGAAGTGCCTGATAGACCGAACAGGCCTGAAACGAATGAATAAGAGCAGTTGAAGCGACGGGGGAAGTAGGGAGGGAGATGGGAGAGAGAGAGATAGAGACTACGGGGAAGTCACGGGGGAGTCTCGTGTAGGCTGAGTCAGCCCAATCGCGGGGAAATCCATCTTCGGCCATCATTTATTGTTATTTCCTGCCGGAATACTACTGAGTACTTCACCTGCCAGCTGAATACTTAACTCCCTTTTCGACTCAGCAGAAACGTCCGACTGCCATCGGGTCGTCTGTGGTTTTGGGTCTGTTGTCAGTTTGGCTTCTGATTTACCTGCTATTCTCCAGCTATTCTATCGATAACTGCAATTGCTACAGACAACCAATACTGACAGTCATTCCCCCGCATATCAGTACAATATGGCTTCCGAACCGACCTCGGCCCTGCTGCTGCTGCCACCTCCGCCAGCGGCCGATTTTGAACGACTTAAGTCTGCATACGAGGCTACTCTGTCAACTGTCTGCTCTACCCTTCATCTCAAGCTGGACGGGTCCGACCGCGTGGCTACTCTCGATGTTGCACTTTCCCTACCAGGCTTGCTCGCCCCTTCCTGCCGACCCCGCACTAGAGCGTTTGCAAGCCTGCAGTCGATTCTTGAAGGCATATACCGGTTGATTGGGATTGTATGTATCGAACACAAGATCGAGTTGGATATGCCTGGAGGCATCGATGCACGGGTCATACTCCTCGACTATGATCTGTCTCGGAGCCCGGAAAGCATTCCAGCAGTTCCGCGCGATGGCCCGATCGTCGACCTGCGGACTCTGGCTAGGTCAGGACGACCATGGAAGTCAATTTACTACCCTGATAACCAGATAGGACAGGATCTGGCCGCAGCCTTCAGTAGCTTCTATTCTCCGGTGGCGGATTCTAAACTTCCCGACTATGGTGCATTACATGCCATCCCAGACGCACCTCACTGGACTCCATCAGAATCTCTTGTGACCCTAGGCAATCTCCACGAAGCCACGTCGCCCTACACAGTCGCTGTAGGGGGCACGTTCGACCACTTCCACATTGGACACAAACTATTACTGACCGCGACAGCACTTGTCCTACAGCCCGTGGAGGATGCTGATGCGGGGAGGGAACGAGTCCTCGTCGTGGGAGTGACCGGCGATGAGTTGTTGGTAAAGAAGAAGTATCCCGATTTCTTGGAAAGCTGGGAAGAACGCAGCCATAGCACGGGTGCCTTCTTGACTGCCATCATGAATTTCCGTGCTCCCGGACCCAGTCGACCTCGGCTTGAAGAGGCCCTGGAGCCGGGTCTTGATGGAAAGTATATCCTCATGAAGTTACGGCCCGATCTAGTTTTCAAACTGGTGGAGATAAAGGATCCATTTGGTCCTACCATCACTGATGAGAGCATTGGCGCCCTTGTGGTCTCTAAGGAGACTCGGTCGGGCGGCGCTGCAGTCAATGATGCACGGACGAAGAAAGGATGGGCACCGTTGGCTGTTTTCGAGGTCGATGTCCTGCATACAACGGAGGTGCCTCCCGATGACGCGGAGGACTTTGCATCCAAGATAAGCAGCACGGATATCAGGCGACGGCGGATGGAGAAGGCTTTGCAATGATTGATTGGCGCGAAAGTTCCCGAGATGCGCGATCTCGATGCGGGAAATTAGTGGTGATCTGAGCCAATCGTCCGTGCTGGTGGAGAGCGGACAAAGCAAAGGTCTGTTCGACAACAACGATGATGATGAGGTCTAGATGGCCTTCGCAGAGGACGATTGGACAGCACGAGATCTGATGTATCTCCAACTATCTATCTAGTCCAGACCGGAACTCGACAGATTCAGATAGATGATGGAGGATAAGTGGGCGTGGAAGGGCCCTTAACTTTTCTCCTTGGTGGTGTAATTTCTAGACCGTCCCGACCCCATGTACTGTATATAGCGTTGTTTGATCCTGTGCGCTTTCTCCTCTCTCTGATCTAATCTCTTTTTTCCCTTTGTTTTCCCCCGACTTACCTGGCTGGCGACGCCAACACAAACCGAAGGAAACGAGACAGCGACAACCAACCAGCGGATCATTGCAGTGTTTGGGCTTGCGCCTGGGCTCGGGGACTACTGGACTACGGCGTTTTAAGTGCTGCTTAAGTGCCGGTGATCCTTTTTTCCCCTCTTCCTTCTTCACCAACAACTGCAAAGAGTCGACCCGGTTAACAACCCACGCGATGAAGCTACTGCAAAGAGTCGACCCGAACGGGCAATGCCACTGTTGGCCAATCTCTCAACCTCGAGATCCACTATATTTCTTCACCTGTGCATCATGAACAAGCAACCCTCAACCATCCATATCTCATTCCCCCTTTCTCCACCACATCAACCCCCCTCCCCTCCCCCCTTGGTCTATCTATAATCTTCCGCGACGTGGTCAAGCCGCAGGGACGATGAAGGCTTGCAACGACAGGCCGCCATGAATTGCGATGACCTCCAAGCGGGGTTCCCTTGCAGCTGGGCGTCTGCAGGTATTTGACTCTTGCTGTCGCATCATTATACTCCCTTCCGTCGTCCCTTCTCTGCCAATCCTTCTCCTCCTCGGCCAGCTTTCCTGCAGGTTCGCGCTGGATAACCGCATACTCGTTTGATCATGTGACTCCGGTATACGTCCCCCCGGTCGGCCATCATCGAGTCGTCTGATCCCGCCCGGGGCTTCTGCAGGCCCTGAATGCGATAATGACCACCCGGTGCGCTGGAGGAAATGAGCTTGCGGTGGGACGCTGTCAATTTCTGGTCAGACACGTTCAACCTGCTGCTGCTGCTGCTGCTGCTGCTGCACCACGCGCGCTGGCTGTGGCCCGCCGTCATCTTTTGCAGATGACAGAGAAGAAGATTGTGTGTCTGTGTCTGTGTGCCTCCAACTAGAAGAGGGGATGTATCACTTTCGTCCTTCCTTTTCGTCACTCTCTTGTTTTTTTCTTCTTCAGGGATTTTTCATCCTTATTTCTTTTTCTCTCCCAAACATTTAATTTTCGCTGCTATCATCCGTCTTCCTCGTTCTTTTTTGCTTATTCTATCTGCGACGTTTTCTTTGCTCTTTTAAATCGATCATCGCCCCCCCTTTACATCTCCTTAATCTCGTTGCATATCCGACAACTCAGTGCCCCTTGATTTGCGACCTACACTCCAGACCTAGTTTGGGATTCCATGTTGGTGCGAGTGGCCCAGGCAGCCGAACACGCTGCTGCTTCGCTGTGCGACAAACATGGACCAACCGCGGCATTTTGACGACTTGGCGGACGAGCTCATTCAGGACATCCTTTCGTTTCTTCTGGGCTTCGAGTATCCCTCCCTCGAAGCCTCCCCTACGACTTCGCATGGTTCCTCGACTCCACTGAATGCCCCACCCCCCCATGTATACGGTGAGAAGTCTGAGTTGGACCGGTTCCGACTCGTCTGCCGAAGGTTCATGCGCATCGGCACACCGCAGAAATTCCCTCGCTTTGTGCTGCGGTTCTCGTTGGATGGATTCCGGAGGCTAGAGGAACTTTTGAGCATGCAGCTAGCCTGCCATGTTCGGAATTTCACGTACATGGTGCGACCCTTCTACCAAGGAAGCGGTACCGTCTCCGAAGACCCGTCAACTTTGAGTGCCAGGAAAAGCTGATAACCGTCTAGGTTGGCCCGATGTTCTAGAGACGGTTGATACTGACAATTTTCCTCTCTCGTCGACCCACCGACGTCGCCTTCACGAGCAGAAACGTATCGTCGAGGCGAGTCACGATTTGTTATATCTGCGCCGCGCGATCGGAGCATTCACATCCCTGCAGCAGGTCAAGTTGCTGCGATTGCAGGATGAGGCGGATGAACAAATTCTGGATCGGATTCACGAACACTCATTGGGAGGAACAACGCGACTGGACTGGGAGCCAGCGTGCACCAGAGCCGTCACCAATTTGAGCATCGCCCTCTTGGATTCGAATTGTGACGCTGTTCGATTCGTCGGGCCACAGATCAGCCCAGAGGCGACTGCGAAACTGTTACAAGCACCATCAACCAGTCTCGCCGCACTGGGGGCTCGGTTGACGAGCCTAGACATTACTTTTTCTTCTACTTTGGATCTGTCCACGCGCATGGACACCTTATGCAATGTCTTCTATGATTTTTTCCTGGCCGCCAAAAACCTCACCGCGATCCACCTAGGCTTTCCAGCCCATGCACCGATCGCCCTGCCGCTCGAACACATCTTCCATCGCCTGCAATGGAAGCGACTCCGCACGCTGAGCATCCAAGGCTGGCGCCTGGGCTCAGACGAGCTGATGGCTCTCATCCGCCGCCATCGGCGACCGTTGCGAGATCTTCGGCTCTCCGGCATCTACCTCCGCCCGGGCGGACGCTGGCGCGACATTCTCGTGCTGCTCCACGACGAGATGGACCACCTCGAGCGCCTCGATCTCCGGGAGATCGACTACACGAACCACTTCGACGCCCACGGCCACCACAATCACAACCATGCACCCACCGCAACCAACGGCAACGGAGCCGGTGGCTCCCACACGCCGACGACACTCGCCATCGTTGTGCAGCCCACGCCCCATTCCCCCTCGCGCGACGCCGTCCTGAACGTGGATTCTCTGTCGTTCGCGCCGCGCGGCAGCACGCGCCGCTCCTTCGACCGCTCGACCCTGGAGCAATTGCGCACCTACACTCCCGAGGATCTAGGCGATACGGGCGTCAGCGTACGCCAGGACCAGTGGTTATTCTGGAAGGCGTGGGTGCTGTCGAGTGCACGAAGTAATGTCCATCTGAGGGGCTAAGAACTTCTTATCTATGTTTTTCATGAACGAGATCCTTCTTTCTTTTCTTTCCATCTTCAATTCTGTGTTTCTGCAGTTGTATGTTACGGCGTAGAATGGAAGACGATTCGTGGGTGATAATGGAATTCTAAAACCGGGTGCCTTCAATTTCGGCACCTAAGTTACCTTATAATAATAGTCGAGGCTGCAGTAGTCATAGTTGATTCCTGAGGCAGTGCATCAACCATTTCAAGAACATCGACCAGGGTAATTGGGCATCTCCACCCATACTACTCAGTAGGAACTGTACATCTTCACAGTGTATCCATGCGACTGAAATCAGCCCACCTTGCTCATTATGATTCGATTCTCAGCTACTCAATCCAGAGTCAACAAATGCCATCCACTGCCCCCCCAAAACACAAAACACAAAAACCAAAACAAGCGAGAATCCAGAAGAAGATTGTCATGCATCGTTCATCATTAACTACTACCTACCCTACCAAGTTTCCTTCCTTCCTGGCCCCCCAAAATAAAATATCCCATCCAAGTGAAATTAGATACAATATATCCTCGAATACGGAAATCGCACGCACTTGCTCTCTCTCGCTCTCGCTCTCGCTCTCGCTCTCTTAAACTGAAGATCTTCAAACAAGTAGGAAACCCCACACCCCCGAAAGCTGAAGGCCTACTACTACTCCACTCCATTCCCATTCCCATTCAAGCTCACCGCCGCACTACCCTGTTTCACCCCGTTACTGCCGCCGTTGGGCGGGGGATTGGCCGTGCGCTCCCGCAGCCGGCGGCCCTCCATCAGCCCGCGGAGACCCCGCTTCTGCAGGCCGATGACGCTGCTGAGGTCGCCGGTCCAGATCTCGCGCTCGGGCCGGAGCTCGGCGTCTGTGTTGCGGCGGTGATGCGACGAGGAGCGGGCGCGGTCGGCGGATTCGCCGCCGCCGCCGTACTCCGAGTCGGACTGGTCGAAGCTGGTGTTCGTCGAGGCCGAGGCCGAGGTGGCGGTGCTGGCGTTGCTGATGGAGTCCTCGCGGTCCCGTTCGCGCTCGAGCTCCACCTCCCGTTCCCGTTCGCGTTCGCGTTCGCGCTCACGCGCGCGCTCGCGGTCGCTGTGGCGCTGGCGGCGGCTGAAGATGTTGGTGTTGATGCGGAGGGGGATGCCGCGCGAGGTGGAGGAGGCCCCGACGCCGCTGACGCTGCTGGCCGTCGAGAGGGCGGCCGATGCGGTGGTGCCGTGCTCCGTGTCAGACGAGTCGGAGGTGAGGTGGCTTTGGGCCGCTGAGGAGGGTTGCGTGGTGGCGGTCGTGTTGGTGGTCGTGGTGGTCAGGGCAGAGGGGTCTTGCGCGGCGGCGGTGGCGGCCGCGTGAGCGCCGTTCAGGGTTTCCAGGGTGCCACCAAGCCCGCTGGCGAACCCGGTCCCACGGCCTCCTCCCGCGGCCATGGCGGCCGCGTTGAAGACGGCCGCAGCATTGCGGCCGTCGAGCATTTGGTGGAGGCGTTCGACCGTAGCTTCGAGGAGGCCGTCGACCTGATAAGGGCGGGCAAGTTGGAGGAGGGAGCAGAGAATCTGGGGGGTGCAGAGAGAGGAGCCCACAGCGGGCAGGGAGGACGTGTAGAAATAGTAGACAAGGACTTGGAGTGTGAGGTAGGTGTGAGGTAGGTAGAGTACACGGGGACGAGCGGTAGGCGATAGAGAATGCGCAGAGGGTATCTCGAGGTTCGCTAGTAACGATTTAGAGGTGACGGAGCGGTTACTGACAAGCGTGCTGGCGTTGGAATAGTTGCTGTTCTGGCCGATCGAGGGGGTGATGGTAATACTTGAGTTGCGGCTGGGATACATGGCAACCGCAGGACGAAGAGTAGCAGAGTCAGAGACTCCCCCATCGCAGGAGTCGCGGAGTAGTTGAATAAAGTAGGGACCCCATCTGCGCGTCAGGATGCGCGAGTTGACGGGGATGCGTTCCCCTCCCACGGCTTGGAGCTCCATATCGGCCATTTCAGGTAGCGAGTGGGCGAGACGACCTAGTTCGTCCGAGGCCGCAGAGAACGGTCGTCCACCAGAGGTCAGTTTGGTGAGCTTCGACTGGAGAGAAGCCGGTACAGATGGCGCACTGTAGGAGACATAGCCCGAGGTGGGTGCAGTCCGGCACGCATTGTTGTAGAGACCGAAAGCCTCCAATTCTACCATGCACACGTGTGAAAAGTTGATACGCCGGTGGTTATAATCTTCCACCAAGCTGCGTTTTCGGTGGCCCAAAATAACAAAGGTATTTCTCCTCGACCATAGAACTCCGCGGTTCCAACTACCCTGACCGAAGACCGAGCCGCCAGCATCGATTCGACCCCAAGTGAGAGTCTTCAAGTCCAGTGCCCAAAGAGCATATTCCTGCTTCGAGGAAGTCAAATAGGTACCACTGACAACGAAATGACCGTTGATGACGCCTCCGTTGGGGAACCTCAACCCCGGGGGCGAGGCCTGACTTTGCATGGGTTTCTCGACCAAGCGACCGTCAGGCAAGCGTACTTGAAGCTCCAACTTGACATCCAGGAAGTTGTAATTAGAGTAGATGAGCATTGGGCAACCCTCGACCTGGGAGTCCTCAATGGGCTCCTGTGCATCTCGATCCTCCGCCGCAGAGCCAATCTCCGAGACACTCATACCCAGCAGGGGAGCAACCACGCTGCGGTAAGCACCACAGCTGCGGCCAAGCGTGCTGGTGCTCATCCACTTCAAACTCCGCAGATTGAAGACACTGATCTGCTCGATGTAATGATTTGAACTATCTTGCCCCCCGACCACGACCATCTCGGCACCCCCAAACCCATCAATATCCACTCCGATCGTGCCCTGGTGCGGGTTCGAAGACGCCGGGTTATGGTGTATAGCCGAAAGAGGTGCGGTGGCTGAAGTGAAATGGGCGCTGGAGGGGAGAATCGTCGCACAGTGCGCATATCGGCCCTGGGGGGAATCGATGGCTGGCACGCGGGTCCAGGTCCGAGTGGGCACGTCAAAGATGTGGATGTCTGACATGACCACGACTTCCGGTTGAGCGTCCTGACCCCCCGCTCCCCCGCTCACGGCAGCAGGGTCCTTGGACACATTTAGGGAAGGCGACATGCCGCCATAGCACACGAGTTTATGGTCTCCCAAGGCACAAACACTGTGAAAATACCGCGGGCGGGGGATGTCGCCGGTCGCCTCGATCTTGGTCCAGTGACGCCGGATCAAGTCCAGCTCGTATATGTCCGACGTCAACTGCGGACGACTCTTGGAGAGCACCCGGCCTCCGAACACGTATAGCTTATCGCCCAAGATGGTTGTCGTTGCGCCCACGAGAGGGTGCGGCTCCCTGCCGGTGGTCCGACGGACATTGCATACCAGGCCTGACAGGTTGATCGGACCGGAGTTGGAGGATTGCGACTGTTGTTGGGCTTGCTGAAGTCGAGGCGAGATCCCCATCGCAGATGGGTCGTCTCTGCCTGTATCCAAGAAGCCCAGGCTCGACTGGCTTCGGGACATCATATTGAGGGTATTTCCGAGGTCTGTTTACCTTCAACCCGCAGGAAAGATGATGAGTGAGCGCCTTATAATCGAGCAGACCACTTGGTAGAACTGTGTCGCTATCGTAACTCTTTGCGCGTATCGTAGGAGAAAGTGCCGCCCGCTTGTGGTACCTAGAGTCAGGAATTGCTTTCCCGGGGATATGGCGTTTAACGAGAGGAAGGGAAAGGGTCGAGGCGATCGAGGATCATCACAGTCGTAAAAGAGGGTTAGACGCCACCCTTGCGTGCCACAGCAGCACAGACCTAGAAAGAGATTTTGGCAGCAACGTTGGTGGGAAAGCGGTCGGGTGATCTTCGACGTCTAAATGGGCCTGAGGGGGGGCAGTGCGACCGGAGGAGGGATGATCAGGGGGGGGTGGAGGGGACAGGCGGGCGGAAAGTCGAAATCGATCGGTATCGGTGACTACTGTCCCCGCTGCGGAGGAGAACGGAACCAGATAATTCAATCGTTTCCTTATCAATGGTATAGACAATACTTGTGGAGGGGTATCAAATGCTGCTATAGTCACCACAACCTCAGCACAAACGAAGAATTAGAAGGATTGAGAGTGCGAGAAGCGACCCTATGAGTAAAAATGGCGGGTGGGGAAAAAGGGAAAGGAGAAGGAAAAGGAAAAGGAGGAGAAGGATTGATTCCAGGAAGGAAGGCGGTCTGTCCAACAAACGCCGGTCCAGGCACCCAAGAGACCTGCCCGCACATGTAAAGTCAATTGCTCTTCTTACCGTATACATTACTTGCTGGTGTGGTTTCATCTCATCATTATAACGAATGTCATCTACAGCTTAGATGAATTGGTCCTCGAACACACTCCCAACACATACTCATCGTCAGTCCACTGCCACCCAGCCACCTGTCCTCCAATGCGGCTCAGCTCAGCGGTTGGCAGCCGATGCAGTGGTTACTCAAACACTCCTAATCGATACGAACCACTGGCCCCCATTTCACATACATAATAGAGTCTCTAGCGAAGACCAACCTTTGATGCGAAATCCACTGCTTCTGACTTCCAAAAACAAGGCCCTCTCCCCCATGCAAGGTGAAGTGAGCTATGCAGGATGACATAGCAACGATCTGATGTTGTTATCGCCACCCGGAGGGACCCAGACGGCCAACCATGGCTCCAATCCTCCCTTCCGACTGTGTGCGGGGACTGGCAGCTCGTCCCAGGAACCTACTGTACAGCCTGCAGGAACACCACAGACTACAGCAGATACTACTGGTCAAGCTGGGTTCCTGCATACATCGAGATCGACTTCCTGCAGCCGGCTCGAACTACTTCTTGCTACCTCAGCTGGAATCATCGGGGTATACAATATTATCTCATATTTTTTCATAACTTTCGTATCAAATCTGTCTCCCTTTTCTCAGCACCGGCCTTGTCGTCGGACTGCATCACTGCAAACCTCATGCCTATCTGTGGCCGACCTAGACATTTTGATCTACTGCTTCAGGTTGGTGAAACGAAGGTAACTTTGGTCCCAAGTTAGTAAAATCAAGAAGTGACAAGCCGGGGATCAAAGGATACTCACGGCTTGACAATGCGGATGTCGCCGAACTTCTTCTGGGCCTCCTCGGTGGAGACGGGGGGGGGGATGACAACGTCATCGCCAGGAGTCCAGTTGATGGGGCAGGTGACGCCGTGCTTGTCGGTGGTCTGGAGGGCATCGATGACACGGAGGACCTCAGCGGTGTTACGGCCGGTGGAGGCGGGGTAGGTCATAATGAGACGGATCTTCTTCTTGGGGTCGATGATGAAGACGGAGCGGATGGTGAGAGCCATGCCTGGGGTTCCGTTAGCGGATGTGCAGCCAGAATGAAACCCAGAAGAACCAGATACATACCCTTGGAGTCGACATTGGTGGTGTCCTGGTAGTCGACCATGTCGTACAGGTAGGCGACCTTGCGCTCGGGGTCGGAGATGATGGGGAACTTGAGGTTGGAGCCGGTGACCTCGTCAATGTCCTTGATCCAGGCGTGGTGGGACTCGGTGCCGTTGGCACTCAGACCGATCAGCTTGACACCGCGAGCAGTGAACTCGGGCTCGAGCTTAGCAAAGGCACCAAGCTCGGTGGTACAGATGGGGGTGAAGTCATCCTATTCCAGCGGCCGCATTGGTTAGTCACGGATGTCCTAGCAATATAATTCGAGCTCCAATCACTCACGGGGTGGGAGAAGAGGACAGTCCAGCTGTCGCCAATGAAGTCGTGGAAGGTGATGGGGCCGTTGGAGGAGTCAGCCTCGAAGTTAGGGGCCTCAGAGCCGAGACGGAGACTATTTGAGAAGAGCCGGTCAGAATTGCCGTGATCTATACAAACCAACCCCGAGCTTGTGAACGGTTGAGGTAAGCAACGGGTCAACACGGGTCAACTTACGGAGGAGCACGATCCTGAGCCATTGTGAGTGGTATGATGCCGTAGAAGGTAAGGATTAATGCAGGGAGAGAGGATGCGGATGGGAGTGGTGAGAAGGAGTGAGTGAATTGAGGTACGAGGGGAGCAGGGGGGGAAGAAGGATGAAAGAGAGGCTAAATAGTTGCGGGTGCTGTGGACAACATCCCCGAATTCGGACACACTCTCTCTCTCTCTCTGGTTTCCCCTCAGTGCTGGGGTTGGTGACTGCCCCTCCATGTTGGAACTGGAGGGAACCCCCCTCGATCACGCAATCTGCCACCGCTTCTGGGGCAGAACACAGTCATTGGTGGGGGATGAGCTCATTCTTGGGGGAGCTGATGGCTGACTTTGGCGCTAGTCCCGTTCAGGCAAGGAGGGGCTTATCAACAAGAACCATGGGACTGATGGCTATCCGTGGAGTCTGGTCACTGGCCGGGCACGGCACTCTTTACTTGATATATTGTATGTAGCAGTTGGCACTGGGCATCTACCTATCCATGATGGAATTACACGCGGAAGTTCTCAGCAACCCTCCGACAACCTGTATCTATAGTCCCGTCATCTGAGGACACTCAATCGACCTGCCTAGTCACTTGCTCTGATGTCGTCAACCCATCGAAGCACTCGACTTCAGACCTCAAAAGCTAACAGTTTAGCGAAAGCCCCATCGGGTCTGCGGGCTAGTCCGCGTGGATGTCCCACTTCGACAACCCGTCCGCTGTCCAACACCACGACCTGGTCAAAGTCGAGTAGAGTATGGATCCGATGAGCGACCATGATCACCGTGCAGTCTCGAAACAACTCGCGGATGAGCTTCTGCACTCGAGCATCTGTCTCCTTGTCCAAACTACATACAAGATGTGGGTCAGCGTTTGAGAAAGCCGAACGACAGAAATGACTCAACAAGGAACATACCTGCTCGTCGGTTCATCGAGGATCAGAATCTTGCTCTTCTTTAACAGAGCCCGTGCCAGACAGAACAGCTGCTTCTGGCCTTCTGACAAGATGCTGTCGTCTAGTTTGACGCCAAGAACCTCTTCGTCACGGCTGTAGCCTTTGTGATGCGCCGCCAGTGCATCCCACACTCCAACGGAGCGCAAAGCATCAACAATGTCCGCGTCCGTAGCAGCGTTGGACGGGTCCGCATTCTGCCGAATGGTCCCTGGAAATAGGAAGGGCTCTTGGCTGAGACTGCTAATGCGCTGGCGTATCGAAGATCGGGAGATGAGGGAGATGTCTTGTCCGTCAATCAGAATTTGACCAGAAACAACCTCGTTGAGGCGAAGTAGAGAAAGCGCGAGGCTGCTTTTGCCGCTGGTGTGTAGTGATTCGCGGTCAGCTAACGTCTGAATGAATTCGAGATGATGCTCGGAAACACTGCAACTGACCTTCCAGTCCTACCACATAGCCCAATCTTCTCCCCACCACGGACTTGAAGGCGGATGTCGCTCAGCACAGCGGTTGCTGACTCGCAGGTGTCATACGCAATGCTCGTATCAGCAAACTCAATCTGACCACAGCTGGGCCAACCCACGGGTGGTTCATGGGCCTCAAGAGTCGGATCTTCTTCAGTGGGGGTGTCTTCGGAAAACGACTTGATCCGAGCAATCGCACCCAGCGATGTTTCAAGCAGCGTCCAATTCTGGATCACTTCCGATAGAACTTGGCCCAGCTCAACCATCAACACGAGAGCAATACCTAGCAGACCTGGGTTGACATGATGACGAACGCCGACGGCTATTCCGACCATGATGACTGTTAGAGCAGCTACTATAAGATTCAGCACCAGTGAGAGCCAGCGTTGTATGCACAGAAGAAGATAATAAGGTTTTTGGGCGGTGTCAAGCATAGCAAGCATCCTAGACACGGCCACGGGCGTCCATGAGAAGGCGCGGATGGTGGTCACTCCAGAGAGAGACTCGAGGAAGTGAGTGTATAAGGGGCTCTTGAGCTCGATTCTAGATGAATCAGTACGATGAAATCAAGACATCCAGGAAGCCAACGCCTCAGGAAAATGAAGATAGAACAGCTGAGACTCACTCTAACAATCTCAGTTGGCGAGAAGTGCGAAGATAGAATCGTTGAAGCAGGCCCAGCAGCGCGATGAGGAATGGCAGAGCCGCAGCGATATAAGGCAAGGAAGCGATGGTGATGGCGCCTTGAGCGAGCGCACTGAAGAGCTCTGAGTTCAAAGATGTCAATATAAAAGTGGCTCCATCTTGTTCATGGATCGTATACTTACGGAACCCTAATGAGATGAACCCACGGGGCAGAATCATGTCTACTAGACGCATGTCTTGGCTGAAGCGAGTTACAAGAGTTCCAGTTTCGACATTTGATAAGTAAGATAAGGGAGCACTTGAGGTGGTTATTTCTCAGTCACCGTGGTCTTGCTCATTCTTCAAGATAAAGACTCACCTAATGCAAGCGCGGAGCACGGTGGAATGAAGGTGTTTCGAGGCAGCTGGGACAATGATGACCCATGTCCAGCTGAACAGTTGCATCTACTATCAGCACAGAATTTAGAGACGAGGGAGGGTTGAACACACAATATAGCAAGCGCAAGCGCGCCTGCTTCAACCGCGGCCAATGCCGCATATATTCCCAGCCAGTATCCTGAACGCGAGCCTGAGGCACTGTCGTTGCTACTCGACCAACGTTCTACCCAAATGTCTACTCAGACGTGAGCGTTTCATGACAACTAGAATATTGTAAGGGAGGGGAGGGCTCACAGAGAAATCCGCCAACGGCTGAATTGACAGTCAGCAAAAACACAAAAGTAGCTACTCTCAGCCAACCCAGACTAGAAAAGTAAAACTTGTACACAGAAGTGTCGGTTGTCTGTCGGTCGCCATCGCAAGGATCCGAGACGGTTCTAGTGTCTGCAGTGGTCGTCGTGAGCTCAGACTGTGATTGAACAGTATTAGCCGCTCCTGGGTCACCTAGCTGCCCTGTGCTCAGTCCAAGCTTGTTAATGTAACCTCCCATGTGACTTCGAAGCTGGGAATAAGTGCCCTGCTCGAGAATTTCACCATCATTGCCCAGCACAATGATAAAGTCGGATTGCGGTAGGTGCTGAGCTGTATTCAAATCAGCAGATACTCAGCATTCGGAAGGGTAAGGCCGTCATGCGACGAAGATTCTTACTGTTATGGGTGGCCAGGAAAACGGTACAGCCCAGCTGACGTAGCAGACCATCCAGGCCAAAGACATTTGTGAATACCTGCTGGGAAGTCACGTTGTCAAGACCACTGAAGACGTCATCGAAACAAGCGATGCGTTTGCGAGAATAGAGAGCTCGTGCGATGGCCTGTTGATGTTAGTAATGGGCTTGTGTTCGAGCCCTTGTCAGGCAGTTTGGTAACGAACAATTCTTTGCTTTTGCCCTCCGCTCAGTTTCGCCCCCTTGCTGCCTACAAACGTCCGGTCTTTTGCTGGCATTCTCCCTATATCCAGGCTGAGCGCACATGCTTGCAAGATTGTGTGATACCATCTTTCGTCAAACGAGGATGATCCGCTGTCGCCCACAATGTTATCCCGAATTGATGCATTGGCAAGCCATGGCATCTGTTCGCAGAATGCTATGTCCGGATGACTGATCACGAGCTTTCCATCCAATATAGGCGTCTCACCGGCAAGGCCTTTCAAAAATGTGGACTTCCCACTACCGACGGGACCGACAATTGAAACGAGGTTTCCTCTGTCAGATTGCCCGAGGGTCAGTGTAACACCAGATTTGTCCAGTGGTGAGGACTTCCATCCAAAACGGACATTTTCCAGTGAGATATGCATCGCGGCCTGCTTTGAAAGAGAGCCAGTGATGGGGGAAGAGAGAGCAGAGAGCTCAATACCAGATTGACTTGGGGACGAAGCTGCTGGACTTGATAGCAGCGGAGCTAATTTCCTCTTTTCTGTGAAAAGCACATAAGCTTGAGATGTAACCCGGGAATTGAACGAAAAATGTCAAGAGCACTCACCAACGCGACTCGGTTGCCTGAGGAAGTCCTGTATTCTATGCAAACATCCGATTGATGCAAATGTATCCGGAATCGCCAGCAGAAGTTGCTGGAGCGGATTGACCAATAAGTTGACCAACGAAAGTGATGTGATGGCTTGCGAGACATGGAATCCCCCGGATCCATTGACTGCAGCTACCATGCCATACGCTGCAAATGTTGCAAGTTGACCAACGATCGACGGAAGGTTGACTAAGTTATTTTGTGTCAGTTTCAGTTATAGCAGTCTGAGAAGATACATACCCATGCATACACGGATTGTCTGAATCCGGCGGAATCTCTTCGAAATAGTGAGTTCTTCCTCACGCAAAGCATCAATCATGGTTCCCATAATCTCGGACAAACCAAGAAACTTCGCATTTCGGATAGATCCAAGAATAGCGGAGGTAAAGTTCACGCGCTTCTCTGTAGCCTGCAGCCAAGTCTTTTGCCTGGCAGTGACAGCATTTCCCATGCCGAACGACGCTGCCGTGAAGACTGTTGCGAATGATCAGTCATACCTTGTACGAAACACGTGTGATTTTGATGGACAAGCTTACATATTACCACTACGAAAGGAGCAATACAGACAGCACCCACTTGGGTTTGCAGGAGCCAAGTGGCCAGGCCCAGCTGTAGGACATTCGCCCATGTCTCGCATACTGTAGACAGGAAGTATTCGGCAAGCATCTCGATGTCGGTCCCCATAAGTGACATGGCACTGGATTCGTCTGTGGTGCCCAATGGAAGATTCATCATGTGTTCATAAGTCAAAGCCATGAGGCCACCTCGTAGCATAGTTGTAGCGCGGTACCCTAGATGCTGGTAGCTCGCGGTGAACACCTAGTGAACTGAATTAATGAGCCATTCGCTTCACGAGATAGGCCGAATGCCCGGCCATATTTGAGAGACTCACAGCAACCCCAACGAAGACAATCGCGGTAGCTCCAATTAGACCGTAGGCCATGTCCCGAGCGAGAGAGTCAGTTCGCTCCAGAACTGTCACAACTTTCCCCACCAGAAATGGCTGTGCAATGCTGAAACCTACAACACAGAGACGGGGGAACGCAATTCCCACTATCTCCCATCGCAGGCATCTAATAACAGCCAGGAACAAAGCATTCTTGCGACTCTGATTGCAGCTTGCCCAGGACTCAGCAAATCGGGAGGACAGATCACGAGACTGGAGTTTTTCGTGGATGGTGGGCAGTGCATCGCCTGTGAGTATGATTGAGTAGCCATTTCGCAAGAGCCCGTTTAACCATGTGAATAGCCCTCGACTGAATGGTCCGCTCACGCTTTCCCCAGACTTGGCTTTCTCGCTTGGTATAAGCCATTTCCGCTTGTCGAGATTCTCAAGTACCAGTAAGAGTAGCTTGATGGCGAGGGATGTTGAAAGACAGGCGGAATATGAGTGGTTGTCAGATGCCAACCATGAGGTGCGTACACGGGCAACATCAAATAACAGAGCTGTGAACAGGTAGGCAGTGACTAGGAATGACGGCCGGATGGAACGAACGTGCTCCAAATCAACAACAGCCACGAGAACAAGTGCAGCAAGAAGTTCAAGAATGGCACCCGCGAGGGACGTATGTTTTTGGGGAACATGCTCGGTTGCGACAAGTATGAGAAGGGGAATTTGTACGGCTGCTAAGATAGCAGCGAGGGACTGCGTTCAAGGCTTGGTTAGTCCTCAAGCTGCTCAGATAAGCATCCGGGGGTCCACATACTAAGATTGGGAGACGCAGATTAGAAGAAAGAACTTTAGGAGATTGCCTGTAAAGCTGGAAGAGTCTGAATGGTGATAAAAGTAGAAAACATGCAGCAGGGGCGATAGTCAAGATGGCTGCCTCAAATAGAGCAGTGAAGTCAAAGCCTCCGCGACAACCTGGTCGAATGACCGGACCGAACAAATTGTCGCCGCATAGATCAGTGGCGGATGTAGCAGTAGAGCTCATGGCTGCACTCACTCACTTGAGATTGAGCTCTGGTAACACGGTCAAGTGCAGTCAGGCTGACAATATAGGAAGCCATGGACCCCATACTTTTGTGTAAGTCGTAGCCTGGGATGAGCTCATCACGCTTATCATCACGCTTATCTTGCTAAGTCTTAGCTCCAATGACCCCATCGATGCCCAGGCCGTGTCTTATCTGGGATTGGTAGTTGACGAGTTCTCCGGCGGGGATCCGATGCCACTGGGCACTGTGGACGGCAGCCCAAATCAGGTGTTCCCGCCTCGATGAGGTGCTGTGGCATGTGAGTATGCGGGAAATTGCATCCCTTCTATAAGTTTTCTATAGCTTCTGTAGCCAGATCTTATTCTCAGCCTCAACCAATATCCAGATATCTCCTCCATACATGATTTTCGGTGGAAGTTGTGTTCTGTGGTTGGATTGGGGTTTGGATAAAGAAGTAGTCCCGAAACTGAGCCACCATGCACCGGTTCCCATTGATTACGCGCTTGCAGGTGCAACGCTATGGTTTGTGGTGGCCGAATTTGTGTTTATGCTGTTGGTCTACAGCTGTTATTAGAGGTTATACCCAAGGTAAAGTCGTCCTACAGTCAGGATGTAAGCTAGTGAATCAGGGTAGGCTGCATCAAGCTAGATCAAGCTGCATACAACGTAGGCATTGGACTTGTGCTCGAAGTATATGTCGCACTCCTTTATCGTCATGGTCGTATATCACGTGCAGCAAAAGAATCGACCTTGAGCATTCAAAGAACCACCAGGATCTTTCGACCGTTGTCTATTGTGAATGACTCAGATGATGTATCTAGGCCAGACACTGCAACACTTCTACCAAAAACTGGATGGTAACTATAGTGAAGAACGGTGGAGTTGCGCGCCAGAAGGGAAGCTTGTTTGCTTGTTTGCTTGGTCCGGGATAAGGAGCGGGCGGTGAATGCGGTAAGGTACAGTACAGTAACTAACTTACATAGTACGCCCGCCCGCGCGGCGCTGGCTTCCCCCCCCCCCCCCGGACGGTGTGTTTTAGACGCGTCTGAGTTTCCGTGTCACGGCGATCGCCTCTGTCTCGTTCCTATAGCTCCTCCTCCTCCTCCTCCTCCTCCTCCTCCTCTCTCCCCCAAGTCACCTCCACTTCCCCCGTCTTTGCTTCCTCCTTCTGCCATCTGTGTTTTGTTTGACGGTGGTGGTTTAGCTCTCTTCATACCATTGACCTCGCTTCTTCCACAAATCTTTCCTTCTCCTTTCTCAATCAACTGTCCTGGCTTTCTTCGCGCACATCTCCTCTCTGTTCTCTGGACAGCACACCATGCCTCCCCAGCGTAAGCGGAAGTCGGAAGGCGCGTCCATCGCCGAAGAGAGTGCTCCAGCTGCCAAGAGAGTACGTACACCAGCCATCCATCCCTTCCCACCGCACAATTCAAGCTCCAACGCGAGCAGGAACGCGATGAGGGGCGGCCCGTGCCTCTTATTCGTGCACGTCGCCCGCCAATGGAAATTCTCTCTGCTTCTCCAAAGCATTTCCCATTATCAAAGTTAACACATTATCTTCTTGCGTGCAGGTTGCGCCAGATACGCCAGCCGACAGCGAAAAACGAAAGAGAGGTCGCCCCCGGAAGTACCCCGAGGGTTCGACTCCCAAGCGCCCGGATGGCCCCAAAAGAGGTCGCGGCCGGCCTCGCAAAGATCCCAACTCTGGTCAGTGCTTTCTGCGCGAAATCCTGCTTTCTACGACTGTCACTGCCTAGCTTAAAGACGAACCCATGGCAAACACAACATTAGTCCGTCCGTAGTGAGCCGCCAACTAACTTGCAGCAGTCTCCACTCCCTCCAAGCCCAAGACACCCAAATCGGACGGCACTTTCGGCCGGGGTAGGCCTAGGAAGTCCTCGCCTAAGCCGACGCCGACGCCGTCACGGAATGGCACCACCAGGTCGACCCCCAAACAAACCAAAACAGAATCGCCAGAAGTCAAGTCTGCTGCCTCGGCCAAGTCGACTAGCTCGGCCAAGTTGCCTACCCCAGTCAAGGCGACTTCGGGACCCTCGTATTGGTTGATGAAGGCTGAGCCTGAGAGCCGTATGGAGAAGGGTGTTGATGTCAAGTTTTCTATCGATGATCTGCGCGAACGCACGGAGCCAGAGGCCTGGGATGGTAGGTCTGCCTTGCTGTTGACCAATCTTTCTGTCTCAATGCTAACACTTCAACAGGTGTACGGAACCCGTCTGGTGAGTAGTGAGCGAGAGCTTTGGCACAGGTGTCAGCAACTTACTTTCTGAACAGCGCAGAGACACATGCGGGCCATGAAGAAGGGTGACCAGGCCTTCTTTTATCATTCCAATTGCAAAGTACCCGGAGTTGCCGGCGTCATGGAGATTGTGGAAGAACATTTTGTCGATGGTGAGAAACCCTAGCTCAGGTACCAGACGGTTGGCTAACGTTGATGTAACTTTAGAATCGGCCTTTGATCCTGCCCACCCCTACTACGACGCCAAGTCGAAGCGCGAGAAACCCAAGTGGGAAGCGGTTCGTGTGGAGTTCCGGCGGAAATTCAAGAACCTCGTGCCTCTGAGTCAGCTTAAGGAAAACATGGCTCCTGGAAAGCCGCTGGCGAACCTTGAAATGCTGAAGCAGTCCCGGCTGAGTGTGTCATCTGTGAGACCCGACGAATGGGAGTTCATCTTGGGGCTTGCCGAAGAAGAGGGAGCTGAAGACAAGGAAGTCGAGGCGACTGAGACGGCTGAGGCGACCGAAGTAAACGATGCCAACGAAGCGACTGAAGTGACTGAGTCGACTGAGTCGACTGAGTCTCCTAAGGACACATCTACTGAGAAGCCCGAGGAAGCGCCGCAACCAAGCGAGTAAACTGGTGAAATTCTTGATGTCCTTTCGGAGCGGCTTATGGGATGAATTTTCGGGTTATGGGTAACATCACATCGGTAAAGCCGGATCTCTGTACAACCAATGGCGTTTCTACAATACAATATTCTTTCAGGAGTCCTATGGGTTGTAATTTGTAGAAGTGATCTCTTGTTACTGTGGTTGTGAATCGAGGCAGCCTTTTGTCAATCCATGATGGCTGCTGGAGGTTGCAGCCTGGGTTTCATTGGCGTCTCCGCCGCATCCGCGGTTGAAGTGGATGGGACCGCGATGCATACCCCAACACTGACGCTGATTGGATATTCCCAATGCAAGCTGCATGTACGAGTCAAGACTCTGAGGGGGGGTTGTTGCTTCTTGCCAGTGCAGTCTGATTGATTTGGTCTTTGGGGACATTGTCCATCCGATTGTGGTTATGATTGTGATTTTAAAAAGATAACAATTTCAGTTTAGTTGATATACTTTAAAAGGGATAGTTGAGTTAATAGCCGGGAAGAGTAAGTCTATCCGAAGAGGGGCAACTTGGCTCAAGCACGACAACGCTGATTCGTTGGGATGCGGCTGTTATTGTCTCAAGCGGGGATGGAGAGCCTGAAGCCTCAGGAACCCAGAGAGGTGCAATTGCGGGGACTCCAAGAAGGTTAGCCTCGATAAGCCACTGGCACTCACTCAGTCACTGCTAACCAAACTCACTAAGCTCAAAGCTCCTCCAAGGCTATTATAAAGTCAACCTCCCCTCTATTCCACTCCATCTTCGATTGTCCTCTACTCCTTCTTTTCCTCTTCACGGTCAATGCCACGCCCCCCCCTCCTCTCCCCTCACTTCATCGCCTCTCGACTTCCCCGCCTTGGTTGTCGTCAGCTTCCCCTCTTCTCTGCAGCTGCATCTCTCCGCTCTCCTCTCTCCACTCCTTGCCGCAATCTATCTCCTCTCTTACCCCGCCACTCACTCCACAGTACCTCATTCACCATGGCCAGCAGCAACGTGAGCGTGCAATTGACGGCTCCCAACGGGCGTCAGTATGACCAGCCCATCGGTCTGTTCATCAACAACGAATTCGTTCCCTCCAAGTCGGGCGAGAAGCTCGCCTCCATCAACCCTTCGTAGGTCTCCTGCAAGAACCTTATGCGACGACGGAAGCTTGTGCTGATCGAACGTCTAGCGATGAGAAGGAGATTGTCTCCGTCTATGCTGCTGATGCGGAGGACGTGGATATCGCCGTCAAGGCGGCCCGGAAAGCTCTCAGGGATCCGTCGTGGAAGCTGCTGCCTGCGACTGAGCGCGGCCACTTGTTGCTGAAGCTGGCGGATCTGATCGAGCAGCATCGGGAGACACTTGCCACTATTGAGACATGGGATAACGGTAGGTGGCCCCTGGTCCGGCACAGCAGCAGCTGCTGCTGCAGAATGCAAGCTCCGGCGGTGATATTGACCGTTTCCAGGCAAGCCGTACTCCGTCTCCTTGAACGACGATCTTGGTGAGGTCCTTAGCTGTCTCCGGTACTATGCCGGCTGGGCGGACAAGATCCATGGCCAGACCATTAGCACTACCCCGGCCAAGTTCGCCTATACTCTCCGTCAGCCCATCGGCGTGGTCGGCCAGATCATCCCTTGGAACTTCCCGCTGGCCATGGCCGCATGGAAGTTGGGCCCGGCCCTCGCCTGCGGTAACACCGTGGTGATGAAGGCCGCAGAACAGACCCCCCTCAGCATTCTCTACCTGGCCAAGCTCATCAAGGAAGCGGGCTTCCCGCCCGGTGTGGTCAACATCCTCAACGGCTACGGCCGCGTCGCCGGTAGCCCGCTGGTCACGCACCCCGACGTCGACAAGGTCGCCTTCACGGGCTCGACCATCACCGGCCGCGAGATCATGAAGCTTGCCGCCGGCACGCTGAAGAACATCACCCTCGAGACCGGCGGCAAGTCGCCTCTGGTCGTGTTCGGCGACGCCGACATCGAGCAGGCGGCCAAGTGGGCGCATACCGGTATCATGTACAACCAGGGACAGGTGTGCACCGCCACGTCGCGCATCTTGGTCCACGAATCTGTCTACGACCAGTTTGTCTCCCTGTTCAAGCAGGAGGTGGCCACGACCAGCAAGGTCGGCGACCCCTTCGCGGACGACACCTTCCAGGGCCCCCAGGTCAGCCAGGCCCAGTACGAGCGGATCCTGTCGTACATCGAAGCCGGCAAGTCCGAGGGCGCGACGCTCGTGGCGGGCGGCGAGCCCCACAAGAACGTCGCCGGCAACAAGGGCTTCTTCATCGCCCCGACCATCTTCACCAACGTCAAGGACCACATGCGCATCTACCGCGAGGAGGTCTTCGGTCCGTTTGTCGTCATCTCCAGCTTCACGACCGAGGACGAGGCGGTCACCCGCGCCAACGACAGCACCTACGGGCTGGGCGCCGCCCTCTTCACCAAGGACATCGAACGCGCCCACCGCGTCGCCTCGGAGATCGAGGCCGGCATGGTCTGGATCAACAGCAGCAACGACAGTGACTTCCGCGTTCCTTTCGGTGGTGTCAAGCAGAGTGGTATCGGTCGCGAACTGGGCGAGTCCGGTCTGGAGGCTTACACGCAGGTCAAGGCCATTCACGTGAACATGGGATCTAAGCTGTAGGTATGAGAAATCAGCTGCTCCCTTGTATGATTAAATAGAAAAAAAATGAGGAGAAATCAACAATACAATATAAAGAAAGCAACCCAACAAACAAGCAAAAGTTGGAATCTGTTCTTATCGCCTCCTTCTTCAGTCATGACTCTGATGCGAACACAGCGCAGTCAAGACAACAAGATGAAAAGAAAAGAGGCAGCCAGATCATCGGGTCGTACAAATTACCCCTCCACCCCTCCCCCCCTCCCCCTCACAGTGACCGTGACTAGCCCAGCATGACGGGTGAACACACGAGTGTCTTGCCTCGATCTGCAGAGTACTATACAGCATATTCGTGTCTGGGGGAGTAGAATTGGAAAATGCCATGAGGATATATCAATTGGAGGAAATGATGTGGCCGAGTTCGATTGGTTGAGCATAATCGGTCTAGTCATTGCAAATCCTCTTATCATCGGACTGAGGAGAACAATAGTCGAAAATCCACGATGTCGCTCGTCTTCTTCCTGCGCAATCTGTAGTCACTGTGAATTCGACTAGTTTAATATTCTACACTGTAACCCCTCGAGAGACATAAAACACCAGACGACAAAAAAGAACGAAATTCTTGCACGGTAGATCTAAGCTTGTGTATACGTATACGAACCGACATGCAAGATCTTCCCGCATCAAGGACGCTATGGGATTGATGCCTACAATAGACAACAAGACAATCCACAATAAGTTCGACTGCAGGTGAAACAATCACCAACCACAGTAACCAACTCAAAGCCACGACTTATGCACTTTTACATTACCCAAAACCAAGACACGCACACACAGAGAGAGAGAAAAAAACAGGAAAGAGAACAAGTTACACGACCCAAGGGCTACCTGCATGAATACTAAGAGCAGAGCCGAGCAGATCCCCTTCGCAAATCCATCCGCTGCATGCTTACGTTACGTCACGTCTAACCCACCTATGTGTGGCGGGCTGGATCTCATCGACATGCATCCCTGAGATGCTAACACTTACGCACTAGTAGCAGTGGTGGTGGTGGTGGTGGTACAGAATACGAATGAGATCTGGATCCTAACATATGGTACTGTACATAGGGAAGTATAGCACAGTGGATTCAACCGATACATAAGTAAACACCTCTCAGCGGGAAAGGCGAGAGCTCTGATTCGCTCTAGTCTTGGTTCTTTTCTTCCTTGATGCAATTTACCCTTCAGTCAGTACCTAGTATTCTTGATCCGAACCCCAAGGCTATACAATACTTTTCTGCTCCACGCATAGCGGGTTAAGCAGTCCAGCTCCTGCTCAGGACCAACCTAACTCAGAAGAATAGAAGAACAACAGCTGCCTCATCGGAACAAAGAAGACACAGACATTCAGCATGAGAAACAGGTACACAGTCCGAACATCCAACACCTCAGACCCAGACCCAAACCAACCCCCGAAGCAACAACAACCAACAAAAAATAGAACAGCAGAAGAGAAGAAGGCACAGAGAGAAGAACATGTCTAGCAGCATGCATCTAAAGTATTCAGAGTACGAGTACAAGTCACCGCCCCTCATTCCCAACCCAGACTCCTTCCTAAGCATGTAAAAGCACTTCCAGAAAGGAAAAGTTCTTTGATGCATGGTGGAAGAAGCAAGGGGGGTGAAGCCCACAGCACAAACCCACCGTAGCCCCCAAAACAACAAGGACAGTCAATTGTCGAGCCTCGACTCAAAGAACCGAGAAAGAGGATGCAAGATAGATGCTTGCTGTTACTGTACTGTACTTGCATGCATGCATAAGCTGCACTGCACTGCACTCCATGCATACATGCATATGTGTGTGGATGTACATGTACAGTAGCTGTACACTGTATACTGTATACTGTATACTGTAGGTGGCGGGAGTTCTTGCTTTTGCGCGGTTGGGTTAGAACCGTTATGGGGGCCACCTAACTATCATTGCACATAGTCAAGAAGCAGTAAGCTACATGGTGTAATCTCGGGTGTGATCGGTCATGCTGGTGCGGATTAAGTCTGCACAGTATGTAGACTGATGAACGCTACCTGGTTTAAAGTCTAGGAGACGAACCCTGGGTGTGTTGTGGGGTACGGATATAGTTGTGTTGGTAAGAGGTGAGCTGGAGTTGTAGACTCATATGCATGCATTTTTATACACTTGAGTTGAAAATGAGGTACAGCTCTCCGATATGCCTACGACTTGGAAGATAACAGGTGCTCTAGTCTGAATATATGCAGCTTCTCCATCACAATATCCTCACGCGCTGCACCTGAATTCCGAAGCACAGGGAGGAAGAGAGCAACACCCTATACACCCAGCATCACCAACCCTTCCAGGCATACCATTGCCTCAACTGTCGCCCGTATCGAACTCACAAAGCCAAGCTATATCAACTACATCCAGTCTTTACGATGACATACTCCCAACTTCAAGGACCCCGAACGGACAAGCTCACATCTTCATACGAGACATGTAGATTAGCGATGTAGGGCAGCC